CAATATTATTACTGAAGATTACAATGATGATGATACTGATTACTTCCAATCCACAGTTTTCTCATTACTCTTTTTTTTTTTCCATTACTCCATATGTATATATCTGGACTTGAAATCAAGGGCAGTAAATGGCAAATGTCAAAAGTTATTGAGTGGATTTTGGCACTAAATAGGCCAATATATCAGTCTCATGGAGATATTGATTGTGTTGATGCATATGTATAAATATTACATGCAAGCAGTTTGTGATTGCAATTTTGATTGGTGCAATACTGGTTGCATATATTGTGCAGCTTCAGTTCTGCATCACACTTTTCACATTGCAACAGGACTGTAATTTCTGTGTAGGACGCGTAGAATTTGGGATAAAACTTCTTAAACTTTTTTTTTTTTCTAATTGTCTGACCTGTCTGGTATGTCGAAAGTATCTTTGCTCAGGTTTTTATATGGCCTGAAACTGTTTTATTTTTAAGATGTTAAAAAGAGCAGAGGGAGCATCAGGTAAGAGGAGTTAGAAAAGAGCCACTGGGCCTGACTGTACTTGCCAGCTCATTTGGAGAAAAGCTCTTACAGCAGAGCCTTATACAGACATTTTCTACAGGGCACATGTTCTAGCCGTGCGCCGGGGTTTCCTGTTAACCCCTCGTTAACTGAAGAGACTCACTATGGCTGTGATTGATAATCAAATATGGACTACAACTTGCTTATAATCCTACTTTTTTTTTAAATTTATTTGTAAATAAAGCCTGTTTTTATTATTAGCCTTAAAAGCTGGTGCCTAAGATCTCTTCTGGGCCATCAGTGTGAGCACTCTCTGTGCCTATGAGGAATCGTCTTGAGTCAACTGCTCACAGCTGCCCTCAGTCTTGGCTTAAGGAAGTACAAAAAATAGCCTGTTTATCACTTTGCCTGTGGTGATTTATTCCACCAGCCCCCCTGCAGCCCGTCATACGGAGTCGATGGGGTCAGCACGGACACACATGTTGGCAGGATGACAGGTGTGAGAGTGTGTGCAAGTTCATGTCTTCATGCACTAGTGCCACTTAGCCTTTTAGAGTCTCAGTGTCCTTAGTTGTATCAATAATGCAGCCGGCCACTCAGCCTCGCTCCTGAGCCCATGCTTTCTCTGCCATTAAATATGCATCTGTTTCCCAGTCCAGTGTCTCTGACGCCTCCCAATTCCCATACACCCCATCTACCCTTCCAGCACAACAACATGCTGGATGTAACAGAGACCAGAGGAAATTACAGTTTGCCTATATGTTTGATGTATGTTTTATTCAGCAGAAGTTTTTCCATTTTAAAATCTTCCTGTCAGATGGATGAGATGCTCTCTGCTGAGCGATTCAAAATCCCAGAAACATCTTGGATAGTTTTTAAGTTTTTCAACCATTTTTCATACCTTCCTTTGAAAGAATGTTTTCTTTTTAATAACATGGTAATAATCAAATAATAATGATAAATAAAAAAAATAATTCAAGGCTATGATTGCAATTGACTTCTGTCATTCCCCTGATCACCAGTAAAGCAAATATCCTATACCACAATGCGAACAAACAAGACGGCAACCAGTGCTGATTTATATTAATATTTGCATGTTTAAAAACCTAGAATCGTTACCTGAGCACTGTCGATCAGGTTACAAAAAGGTCACACAGTGTCAGCAAAGTGGAAGTAATTTCCTTCAGACATGTCGACTGAAAGACGGAAGAGCTTCTGGTACACATTATCACATTATTTACTGGTGCATGCAACTTGGCGAAGCAAGATTTGCAGCAAACCTGGCTGCAGTTTCTCATGATAATACACCAGCCTGGAACGAGAAAGGATGTGAATGTGGTCGAGACAGGAAGTGTGAGATTTTATAGCTGTATGCAAGGTGGTATATTTTTTATGAATGTTATTGGGGAAAAAATATGAAACTATTGCTGAATTAACCATAAACTCATTTTCATTAGCTGGATTTCATTTTAAATGATCAAAGTTGAAATTGGTCAATATTAAAAGTAGATTTTCTCCACGATCACCCACATGTATGCTCCACATGATGTTGAAAGAAATCATGAAACATTAACGGCTTCATCAGTCTAAGACAGAAACATTTAGTTGCTTTTGTGACAAAGTCTCTCCCATCCTCCTTTAGACATGAAACTGTTTCTTCCTAATTCCTGACAGTGTAATTAGACAGTGTAATTAGACTGTGTGATGTCAAACTGTGAAATAGTAAAAAGGTAGACATTTTTTCTGACCTGACAGACTGACTGCTTAAATGACTACAGGCTTAACAATAGATATGAGAAGAGAAGAAGCCAACGTGTAGGCGAGGGAAATGACTTGCACCGAATATAGCGCTAATACAACCATGTTTTTGGACTTGCTTCCTCCCTGGTTTGTGACTAATAGTTTAAATAGTAGATATTTCTTAAAATCGATGTGCAATATCAGAAAAAACATGCAATTGTGTTACTGTTGCAAATATGCAGAGTGTGAACACATGAAACTTGAAACATAGTATTCTACCAAATGTTGCATCCAAATGTGAATGCAACACTGCAGACGGTGATATAGTGAAGATGTGACTCGTATTGTGAGATCTAGTTTAGCAGATATTCAGAGTAAAGAATATTTATTGCTGCCACCTTGATTGGTAACTCTATAAATAAGAGTTCAGTTAACTCTTACTTTTTTATTAATCTATAAATAACTCATTCAGCAATATATATTGCAGTTTCCATGGCCACAGGGTACTTTAGCTCTGAGTGGGTCAATATAGCAAACTGCTGGATTCAAGTGAACATCTGACAAGATGGCAAATGAATCCATGGTTTCACAAGTGTTATTACTGTGTACTGATTTTAAAAATATCAAATGTTGCAGCTTGCTAACATTTGGGTCACGTCTTCATTTCATGCATTCACTATTTGATAACAGCTGATGTTGTGTGTAAAGCCGTTTCCTTCTGTTTTTACAGTAATTAAGGTAAACATTGAAATGCATAAATGGGCCTTAGCTAACCTGAACAGGGAGGAGAAGGTTTCAGCTCTCTGCAGGCCTGTGGGCACGGTGTGAGGCGAGTGCCAAACATCACAATCACAGGAAGGGGATTGGTGTTTACATAATGCTCATTTCTGATTTACAGCAAATCCAAAACTATCTCCCGTGTACTAACCTTTTAAACTGATCTGATGTTGTTCAAAGCAACATATTGAAGTAAGCATCCAACCTTTTCCTGGCTTAAGATGCAACACTTATTAACACTGCATAAAACAGTTTTAGTTTTGCTGTTGGCAGTGAAGCCAGATCGCCTTTAAAGGTTAATACTGACCAGATTTATGCGTTTCAACTTGTAAGGAAATGTAGCACCACTGTATTTCTGCAGGCATCGATTGCCCAGTCTTGAGCAGTCCTTATTTGGCAGTGCAGGCAGCAGGAAGTGGGTTGTGTCTTTGGTGCTTTGTCACAGGAAGTAGCAGATTGTATCAAGGGTGGGACAGATGGAGGGAGAGGGGGAAGAGATGGATTAGGAGACTGTAGGGAGAGCCTGGGAAGTAATCAAGGAGATGAGGGGGAGGAATGATAGAAAACTGGAATGAACAGTCAGCCACTGTTTGCTCCTCACTTCCCGTCCTCTTTCATGTTACAACTCTTAGTCCTTATTTCGTTTCCGCTTATTTGAAAAATTACCTGGTTTCTGGCTGTTTTTAAGTGGTAAAGACGACACAGAGCATGCAACAATGAATGTTGTGCGTTAGGTTTTCCTTTTTGGCATAGAATATGTGCACAACTTTAGTTGGAATGAATGATTTGTAACTGGATCCTGCCTGCAGAAAGCCATGCACAAATATTTTCACTGCCTCTCCCAGTGAGAAGCAACTGTGTTCTTACCATCTTCAGCGATGATGTAAAGCAGGTGGAAGATTCCGGGACCTTGTTTTGTTTGCCGACACTCTGCGCAGCTTCCTGTCTTTGTCATTCCCCGTTGTTGTCTCACCTATTCCTCTCGTTTGGGATCAAACCAAACGGTTTTTTCCTGCAAAAAATCAGCACTTGGCAGCAGTTTGGTTTTGTTTGTCTAGCATACCATCCTGAATATCAGTTATTATTCACTACGTGGATTAGCTCATGATTATGGCATTTGGTTTTTGTTACAACCTGAATTAACTGGCAGGAGAACTCTAATGGGACATGATGGGGCAGGTGAAAAATGAGGCCAGACTGGTTTTGACGGGAACTGTTTTTGTTTAGAATCTCGTGTTTTTTCACTCGTTTGTCCATCCGGTGTTTCCAGTTTCCCTTCTCCCTCCCTCATGTTTACTTTTTGTCTTGTTTTTATTTTAGTTACTTCCCTGAAGCGTGACATTCAGTAAGAAAAATTTTAAGGCAAAAGTTTAAAATGTTGATAAAGACTACAGCACTACAAATTCTGATAATAAAATGAACGAATAAAAATGGAACATGGGTCATTTAAAGAAACGAGCACATACAAATAGGGATCAGATGTGACAAGAGCGTGTGTTTGGTACAGTGCTTCATTAGTTATAAGTAATAAAAATAATTGACACATCTTGAATGCTCACAGCGCCACTTTTGTTTACATAATAAATGGTGCCTCTGAAATGTGTGTTCATCCTGTTTAACGGCTAAACAGGATGAGGATCGCTGAATAACACATCCTCTACTATATCCAAAGTAGGTGTGTATTAATAGTTGAATGTAATGCATTGGAAATACAGATGCTATACAAAGTTCTGATGATTCATCACCTCATAAAACAAACTCGACTCTAAAGTTCTGCAAAAGTTTCCTTTATTTTTAGACTTGTCTTGTGTGGGTTGCAGATGGAAATTCATTTTTACCATGAAGCTTGAGTTAAGAACCTGCACCGTACACCTTAAATTAAGTATTTGTTTTCTTCCAAGAGTCTTGTTCTCTTGAGATTTGCACCATCAGTGCTGTACATTCATTCTGTGTGTTGTTCCATCTTTTCCTGTGTTCTGCAGTGAGTCGAGTATTTGCCAGGCTCGGGCCACTGTGATGATCTACGATGATGGCAGTAAAAAGTGGCTCCCGGCAGGTACCGGACCCCAAGCCTTCAGCAGAGTCCAGATCTTTCACAACCCTTCTAACAACGCCTTCCGGATAGTCGGACGCAAGATGCAGACAGATCAACAGGTACATGTTTTTGGCTTTAGAGCAGGACCATGACATCTTTGCTTGCAATAAAATGTTTTAAACGTTCCTCTTGCTTGCACTACAAAAGCTGAATATTTGGGAGCCAACATGGACTAAAAGGCTTTGCTCGCTTCCTCCACTGCCAAACTCCAACCACAGGCAGACTGCAATTCTAACACAGTGCAGAAAATTGACATAATCATTGTCAATGCTCAATTTTTAGTGCTTTGGTGTGGTGTATTCACTGGTCAGAAAATGATTTTTTTTTCTTTTTTTTTTTTCCTTTTTTTTTCTGAAAAGCTGAAGTGACATTGAAGGAGAAAATTGTCGGATTCCAGTCACCAGACAGTTTCTCAGTGCATCTCTACTACAGCCACTTTAAATGTCAAAGCTTTTCAAAATAAACTTCCATAGACATATTGGCGGATGGACGGTTCCCCAGTATCACATCCAAAACAGCGATGGCTAATGACACTAGTTTACCAAAATTGTTTTTCACAGGTATAAACTTCTTTCATCCATCAGAGAGCCTGTGTGGCCCTCCTCAATCGTTGGTGTAGAAATTTAGTCAAAATGTTGCTTTCTCAAAACTGTTTGACTTTTTTTAAAACTTGTTTATTAAAATGACGTCCTTACTTTTGCTGCTGATCATTCAATTTGGTTTCTGCTAATAAATCTGAAAGGCAAAAAAAACACCAGGTACAGTTTGTACTGCAGTACGACTATTGCTTTATATGTCAGGATAGAATGTGAGAAGTCAAAGTTGATATTGCCGGATTTAACCCCGGAGCAGAAAACAGCCAGAGCACCAGACTGGTCGGTGTTGGTGTTCTGGAGCATTGCTGTCATCGCTCAGCTGATTCTGCACTACCAGCATGGTGTGTGTTAGCACACACTGCTGTGGCTGCTGTGTTGTTTCATATGCTGCCACTGGGGGCAGTATATGTAGCATATACATTTTTCACCACTTTAAGACAAAAACTAAGGACTTTATACTTCTGTAAATCTGGAGATGAAATGCAGTGCATGTATGATGAGCTCAAATGTTTTATGTAAACATTGCGCACTGCTGCCCTTACTAGAAAGAGAATTAACCAAAACATCACACAATAAAAAAAGGATTTCAATAAGTTACAGGACGTTCTTATAGATAACATGAAGACCCTTAAACTAAGCCAAAGGGAACAAAATGTTCATCAAAACAACCAACATCTCTTCTTTATCCAAATATTTCTGTGTCTAAGATCAGAGTTTGGAGTCTTGAGCATGACGTTGTCCTTCAGACAAAGATGGTTCAATGCCATTATCTTGCTCATTGTGGCTCCCTGCAGACAAAAGTGTTCCACGACTGAGAAGCTGGGTAAAATTGACTCTAGGTGGTTCTATTCTTGACTTGAACCTTTTTTTTTTGTTTAGTTTTTTTTTTTTTATCCCCCTGCTGCACCAAAGCTTCTCTCCTTCTTTAAACATTCAGCATGCTGAAGTGTTCCCTGGAGACAAGTCTTAAAGTGGAGGATGTTTCCTGTGAGATAGTTAGCCTGTTCAACCATTTCCTGTGACAATTTTTAAAAAGAGGCTTGATACCAGCAGGTCGCTATGGAGACGCTATACTGCTTTCTCTGGTGACAAATAAAAACAGCAAGACGTACGTTTTAAGGAAAATATTGCAGCTCTTTATATGCTTCCCTTATTTTTTTTTATTTTTTTTATTTTTTTTGCAGCCACATTTGTGGTTTCAGTCTGTCTCCCTAAAGTATTTCTTGCCTTCAAAACACATGGAAGATGTCAAGGTCACCCGACTGACTCGCTCCTTGCCACAGCCGCTTGGTGTTTATTTGCGTTCTGATAAGATTTGGAGTCGTTTTGAAAAATACTACTGTCTGCGGTGGAGGCTGACCTTGCTGCCCTTTGTCATCCAGTGGATGCTTCCTCCCATGATGTTCACTCTGACAGGGTCTCGACTCCTCCCTCTGCTCAATGGAATTCAACAGCTTTTAAACAAATACTGAAACGGCGTGTCAGCACATTCAAGCAGCACTCTGAACACAGAGCTTTTTTCTTTTTTTCCACCCCAGACTAAACGGGCTTCGTGCCACCTGCTGAGTGGAATATAACCCAGAAGGATCCATAAAAAAATAAAGCATGCCATTAGGTTAGGCGTTGGCAGGGATGTAGTTTCATGAAGTTTTCTTGTAAAAGGATGCAGCTCACAGATGCTACCGGTTTTTAATATATTTTGCACATGTGTTATAAACATTGAAACACTGTCAAGATCTGGTTGTTTCTAAAGGGACTTACTGAGAAAATGGGATGCTGATGGCTACAGGCACTCTAACTATTTTTTTCCCACAGTCACAGCTGTTCCAGAACAGTCTGCTGGTGAATATTGACTAATCACCTCACTGTCTTATCATCCTCAGGTGGTTATAAACTGTCCCATTGTAAAAGGGCTCAAATATAACCAGGCCACACCCAATTTTCACCAGTGGCGAGATTCCAGACAAGTTTGGGGGCTCAACTTTGGCAGCAAAGAAGATGCTGCTCTGTTTGCCAATGGCATGGCTCACGCTCTGGATGTCATCAACTCCATGGCAGATGCAGGTAAATCACTCCTCATTCATTCAAACTGCTCAGACCAGACTCCAGCGTCCATTCCGGCTGATTCAGATAAGAGTTGACCCCACAATGCCTCGCCATTCACACCGAGGCGATCAGATCTCAATAACCTGTTTTACATGCAGATAAATGCATATTGTCATCAGTCAGCTGAGCAACAAACAGGACATCAACATCTCCATTGATGTTTCTGACACAAATTATTCACTCACTTGACCGAAGTTATTATTAAGATGTCAGCATGGCTGAGATCCTGCTCAGCACACTTTTACCAGCACACAACACAGCATAGCTTAGAACACCTGTGAAACACCGCTGAGCAGCTCGCATTTATCTGTGATTGAACCTGGAGATTTTACAGTAAAATCAGGTCTGAAAAACTGCCAGAACAAACACCACTCTGCAGATGTTTCATTAGAATTATGGATGACATTTTTTGTGCCATTTTCATTTATTTAATCAGTTTAAAAGCCTATGTCTATTATGTGTTAAGTATTCAACAAAAACAGACTGACCATAAAATCGTAATTGAGAAAACAAAACGTGCTTTAACACCAGCAATCGGTGGAGAGCGGAAATAATTGTCAACTGATTTAGAAAGCGATTAATCATTAACTGCAGTGTAAAGATTTGAAAAAGGGCCATTTTCTGAAAGAACCACACACTCAGAGCAGTAATTCAGACAAAAATGTACAAAATAAATATACATTTTACATTTAAGATAAAAAAAAAAAAAACTTTCTTGTTAATATGTTCTACCCAGAACTAATCCTGTGATACAGTTTTAGCTTCCGAGTTTAAAGTCTGTTTAAAACAACTCCTATTAAGCGCCTTTTTCTATCCAATTATTAATATGTTAATCCAAAAACTAATCAGCATGTTATCCCTGCAATGTATTGAAGCAAAGTCTAGCAGAAAGAGCTGAACTTTTCACGTCTTGATGCAAGTATTTTTTTATCTGCAGATTAATCCTTTGGTACGAATGATCAAGCGCACACTGCAGAAATGCTTTATCACATTTTAGGCAATAACATGTTTTTCTTAAAAAAGTAATGTTTAATATTAGTAATATTTATTAGCATTTTAAATGTATTTCTAATATTGTTTAAGATTAGCATAAGTTTTTTAACGTAAAATCTGCAGTGTGCTTTTTTTTTTTTTTTTTAATCCAGAATAATCATTAGAATAACCGTTCACTAAAAAAATCATTAGTTGCTGAGCTAAATCAGTTCCATGCCTGGTTACTTTTAATTTGGTTGACTTTTATTATTTTAGATTTTTATTTTGGCTGAGTATCAACATGCATTTCTGTACACGCTGCATGTTGAAGCTACACTCCACCATTGGTGCTCTTATCAGAGTCACAGGTATATCCTGATTACTGCTTATAGCATTTGGTTTTGGTTTGCTGAAAAATTTCTCACATGGTTGGGAACAGATTTCTGAGAAACTGCATGCGTCTTAGAGCTAAACATAACCTTGATACAAAGAAGGCAGGTTTGTCATATAAGAGAATAAAAAAAGACAAGAGTCGCTTTGGCCATGCACATCCTGTTGTGTTGCCAGTAATACATACTTGTTTTGTCTTACAGAGAGTTGTGCTCACCCTCACTCCACCTAACTATCTATACAGTTTATGCTGCTCCATTCAGCTCCTATTTCATTAATAATGTCACTGTTTCTTACAAATGAGTTGTTATGCTTCGTCCTATCAGGGCTGCTTACAGACTTTGCACTCTGCAGCAAAACTGTGTGCAGATGAAAAAAAGAACATGGGTGGTATGATTATTGAAGTGCAATTAAGTCAGTTTATAACACAAGTATCTATTTTTGAAGATACTTTAATGTGCACTAAGAATATCTTCCTTCATGTTTTTGCAGGTTATGCAACCCTCCCCCGCCCAGTGTCAAATGGACCTTCTCCTGAAGAGCTCGAACAGCAGAGGAGGTATCTCCAGACCTCCTCTGAACCAACCCTTTCTTTACTTTATATATCGTAAAATAACATTTTTGGCTGTGCTAGCCGCTAAATGTTTGCTTGCTCTCACCGAGATAAAAAAATGTGTCCCAACAATCTGAATAACCCTGACTGGTTTCTACGCTGACGATAAGAAGCAGGATTGTGCGGCAAATATAATTTTATCAGCTCGTTCAGCTCGTTCCTCAGAAGGGTGTTGTCCACCGTGGGGCCGTTTCAATCTGCTTCCAGACCAGATTGAACCACTTTCCGGGTTTCCAGTCAAGCTTGGCTTGGCTTTGCAGACGTCCCGTTGGCACAGTTTTGCGCACAGGCATATGTGGAGGATTTACCGGCATTAAGCAAACACTGCTAAACCCTCAATCAACCCTTGAGTCAGGTCAAAGGTCAGACCGATAGCAAGCCTCTCACATCTACCCCCTGGAGAAACCTGTTGAGGTGACTTCATGCATGCCTGTATAGAATAGGCTTTAACCTCCTAATCCCGTTTAGCCCGAAAGGTGCACAGTGACCACAGGGAGTGTCTGTTAAATTAGTAGCTGTTCCATTTGCTGCCAGCATGCTGTGGCTTAGTAAGCTTTTTAAAACCTCTGACCTCCAGCAGTAATGCAGGTGCTTGGAGGATTTTTAATAAATGCTCATCATTTTAAATACCCTTCTCAGAATTTGTTTTGTGGGAAGGAAAGAAAAAAAAAATCATTTTAACATGAGCTTTAGAGCGTTAAGTCATATCAACCCTGACTGTCTGAGTGCATATGTTTAGTTCTCTGCATTATGATTGTTTATAGACATTGTTATTTTGCAGCACATCTGTTCTGTGGCTTGATCTGTAAAATGAAAGTAACAGGATACATGGTTTTGAATTTTTATTTTTTTATCTGTAGAATATAAAGAGAAGAAGGTGTTCTGGCCAAATGAGACCAAAAATGTATTTTGTGGTCTGTGTTCAGTTGACTGTGTTGGAAACCTCACACTTGAATAGAGCTGTACAATATTTTAAACCACAACCATCATTGCAATATTAATAGGTTCAATACTGCAATAGCAAAGGTTTTCACTATTTATATTTCAAATGTAATGCATGAAAATTCTGCATGGAAATATTAATTTGGACTGTTTAATTAATAACCTGAAGTGTCCTTGTAAATGCCAGGTCAAAATTAATGCGATCTGTAAACTTGTGTAAAATTTTCCATTTGATCTATTTCGATTCACAAAGCTCAGCACAGCTTTGTCATAATAGTAGGTTTTGGTAATTTGAAAACAACAAATTTTAGTTCTGAGGATGACATGCATTTTAACAAAGGTGTGTGTTGACAGGCTGGAGCAACAGAGGCTTGAACAGCAGGAACGAGAGCGACAGGAGAGAGAGCGGCAGGAAAGAGAACGACAAGCCGCTGCAGGTCAGGAAACACCTGGTGTGCTGCAGATGATCGCATTTAGCTGCAATGCGCTCCAACCTCTGCAAGACTATTTCGTAGTTCCCTCATTCTGAGCCAGGTTATGGAGAAAGTCGTTCCACTGCATGTTTCTTCTTTAGATCTGAGATTATCCGATATTTTTTTTTAGATTTTATTGCTTTTACTTAATACATGGTTTCTTTTCTGGAGTTTTCTGAAGTCGTATCTTTAAAATTTAACTGAAATGTGATTTTTGAGTTGAGATGTCAGAGAAGTAATCTATCAAAAGCTTGTTTCCATCATAACCTGCAGGTGGTGGGGGGGAAAAAAAAGTTTTTCCACTTATGTCAGATTATTTTTCTTAAAAAAAAAAAGTTGTCATAATAGTAGTTGTATCAGATCACTGTCAGTGATGTCTCTGCCTTTCCTTCCAGCCCATGTCCCTCCAGCTCCACCAATGGCTCCTGGAGGTCCAGCTCCTCCTCCAGCTCCTCCACCGCCCCCCGGCCCACCCCCGGCGGCAGGCATCCCTCCTCCTCCTGGACCGCCTCCAGCAGGACCGCCACCAGCTCCACCGCTGCCCACTCCAGGTGGAGGTGGAGGTGGAGGTGGCGGTGGCGGAAATGACGGTGGCGGTGGAGGATTAGGAGGAGCTGGAGGTTTGGCAGCTGCCCTTGCAGGAGCTAAACTCCGCAAAGTGTCCAAGGTTAGTATCAGATGTTGTAATTAGTGCTATTTTTATCGAGTGAATTAAGTTTCCGCACTAATGATGTGACATGTCTGCATTGAAACAGCTATGTCCTTATTACCCAGACCATGTTGCAGTATAAACCAAACGTTAACATTTATTGTATAAAAAGATACTCAGATTTTTTTTTATCAGTGTCTGACATTAAGTCAATGTAAACCTTTTCTGGCTTAAGTGATCTATATTTGTGACATTATTTAGATGGGGTTTTTTTAATTGCCAGAATTGAGAGAGAAAATAATTATTTTAGTTTTCCTCCTTGTTTAGAAGTTTACATCCTTCATGTTGGATGTAAACTCTGACTTGGAGCCACATTTTTGGGTTTCCTTCCACAAACTTCTGACAGTAGTTTGCTGGAATTGTGGTCCATTCCTCCTGACAGAACTGGCGTAACAGAGTCAGGTTTTTAAGCCACTTTGTTTACACACTTTTCAGCTCGGCCCACAAGTTTTCCTTGGAGCTGATGATGGTCACTCCAAAATGGACTGTTATTCTTTAACCACTTTGTTACTATTATTTGGTGGTATGTCTAAAGTGATGGGCTGTTTCACATTTGAGTTGGCGTTCTTTTAAGCGACCTCCTCAAATATGTTGTGAATTTATAAACTTGAAAAGCCATGACCTCATGGCTCATGAATTTTCCTCAATTGTTAAAAAAAACGTCATCTTTGGGCTGAATTTGTAGAAAGCAAGTTAAAAAAATCTGGGGAAAAAAAAAATTCTAATATTCTGACATTTAGGAAGTAGAAATGTTTTTGAAAATTCTAAATGACCCGAAACATATAGTTTGATTTAGTGTCAATCACTGAGAAACAACAGTTATGTTTGTTTTTATACAGTGTATACAATGTTTGATTTCAGTTGTATCAGATCACTCACGTTTTTGCTGTTTGCTGCCCTCAGCAGGAGGATGGTGGTTCTGCAGCTCCACCAGCCAGAACAGAGTCAAACCGCGTCAGCAATTCCTCCATGGGAGGGGGAGGCGGCGGCGGCGGCGGTGGAGGAGGAGGAGGAGGAGGAGGAGGGGGTCTGATGGGTGAAATGAGTGCCATTCTGGCACGCAGGTGGGTTTAGAGTCATGTATCAAATTGAATGTTCACAAAGGTTTTGACTATGTAGTTCTTTGCTGCCCTCTGTTAATTTTAAATCGGTCGACAGTAACAGAATATTGACACATCTCTCTGTAAACTGACTGCATTTAAAATAACAAAGCAATTTAATTTTACTTCAGGAGAAAAGCTGCAGATACAGGAGAGAAGCCTCCCGTGAAGACACAAGATAACGTAAGAGTCCACTCATTGCAGTATTTCTGAATCACTGACGACATCAATTAAAATTAGAGGAAGAAGTTCGATGGATTAAAGGTTGGAAATAGCTACGCGTGACTCAGTGTTTACAGAAGTTGCTGTCTTTTCTCCACAGGATGATTCAGAGCCTCAAGGTCAAAATGGTGAGAACCGAACAGTTTTATTCATAGCATGCCGCCCACATTCTGGCCAATATTAAGTAGCAGTTTTGCAAAGCTGAACTGAGAGGCTCGTGTTTCTGTCTGTTCTCCCTTTTAGATTCACTAAGACGACCTTGGGAGAAATCGTCCATGACTAGGTAATCTCGGATACTTCAGTCTAAGCATCATCAGTAAAATTTAGCTCACACGTGTCTCGCATTTGAAGTCACCTCAAAACTAGTCCTCCATCAAAGTGTGTGCGTCTATTTATCGCTGGTTCTGCATCTACATCTCTCCTTAAGAGTGTTTTTGTGTCTAAAAGTCATTCATATTCATTCTAAGAGCAGAGTGTGTATGTGTGTGTTTCACTAACAGGAATAACTCCATCCCCAAGAGCATGGACACCACTTCCTCAGTGTCCCAAGCTCCAAGGTACACATGCTGTTCCCCTCCCTCCACTCCCTGCTCCCCTCCTGCCTTCGCTTTCCTTCTGATGGCAAAGCAGCTCTTCTTCTGCTGCTGCTGCCTACACACCTGGGTAGCAAATTGTGCAGTTGATTGCTCCATCTATTGGATCAGAGCCCGGCATGCATGTGTACACCCAAGAGAGCTATTGACGGTCCGCCTTATCCTTTTAGTGCTGCAAACCAGATGAAATGGAACCCTGATTGACAATGATACTTAGTTTTGGTTTCATCGTAGGCATTTATGCCATTGAATTCTGGTAAACTATGCCTCATCTAAACACAGCTTTGTTATTTATATGTGGCGCCTTTTAAAACTACCAATAACCCTCTTATTTTTTCATGTTAAAACCTGGAATTCTAAGGTATTTTATAGAATGTTTATGTAATTATCCAACACAAAGTTGGGAAAGGAAAATGTTGTATGGTTTTCAGCTTTTTTTTTTCTTTTTTTTTTCTTTTTTTAAAAAGCAGAGTTGGGTTATAAAACAATATGTGAAGCACCCATTATAAAAACCCATAAGATTTACAGCTATAATGATCATGAAAAATTATTAAACTAATGAAATCTACAAACTATGATTTTGTATTAAGCCCACCAATTCACTTTGTGACAATATTTTGAAAACCACATTCTACTTCCCAGGTTTGCACGACTTTGTCTAATACATGAAATACGAATAAAATTAATTTTGGTTTGTGGTCGAAAACGTTACCAAGGCAATGTTCTGTCGATGAACTCCAACAAATGCTAAATTGATGAATAACTACTTTAATAATATACTAACCCTTATTGCATCTCGTCACTTTCCATCCACTGTCTTATTATCCTCAATGTACAATATTTTGTTTTCTCCAACAATGACTAATTTCCTTGTGAAGTGCAGTCACTGAAGATTCGGTGTTTTCTGTACCTTATTGTCTTATAGGGCGAAGAGTGCAAGCAATAATAATGATGCAGGTGGAACTGATGGCTCTGATTTAGACAACCTTAAACAGGTAAATGCTCACCGATCCATTTTATCGGTTTTTCACTACAAGACTATGATTACGTGCACTGAAATTTGAATGAAGCTCCTGATAGATAAAACATCAGGTTTAGTGTTACATTTGTTTTAATGCACTAAATGGTCAGCTGCAATATATCTACATGAGAAGCGTATTCAAAAAGAAATGTCTCTTTTTAAAAAACTGCTAAAGGAGAATTTAAAGAGCTTTGGATCTTTCTGTGTTTTTTCAGGAAGATTATCGTATTTGAAAATGTAAAAGAAATTAATTCTGACATTGGCATGTTTATTATTTTATGTTATTGTCTGGCATAGTAATAAACCTCATCTGCTTTAGGAAGCCTCCAAAGATTCAATCATGTAGCTTTGTTTTTTTTTTTTTTTAAGTGCAGATTAACCATTACAAACTTGTGTCCTAGACAAATCCACCTTAAAGCTGCAATGGTTTTCATCTGGCCCATTTTTTTTTTTTCTTTTTTTTTTTTTTTTTTTGTAGGTTCATATGCAAGCATCCAACAATGGCTTTGAAACACATTTATCTTCTGAACAGTTAATCAGTGTTGTCTGTCAGTAAAATACTAAAAATGTATTTCACCAACTCTTACCAAGTACTTATCAGATCTGGACACGCACTGAGTTTTTTTTTTTTATGACCTTACTCCACATCTCTCCATTTGTCAGTCCTGTCATTCTGCCATCCGTCTTTACAGTCTATGATTTTGCAAGTTCCTCATTTAAAGCCTGACTGCTGTATAAATGATTGCCATAAATTGACGGTGAACAATGACCATGTCGCTGTGATGCGTTTGTTGCCTTATAGGAGATCCTGGAGGAGGTGCGGAAAGAATTACAAAAAGTCAAGGAGGAAATTATTGGAGGTGAGGCTTTGTCAGCATGCAGATTAAATCATAGCCCGACAATATTTTTTCACATTGTTGTTGCATAGCATCCTCAAACCGGAGTGCAATTTGTTTAATAGACCAACAAAAATTATTGCATAGTTGTAAAGCTGGAAAGAAAAACAATTACAGCTCAGTTCAACTGAATAGAAAGTGTGTAGGCATGAATTTTTTCAAAACCTGCCACAGATTCTTGGCTCTGGACTTTTACTGGGTCATTTTAACACAACGATGTGATTTGATCTAAACCATTACATTGTAGCTCTGCCTGGATGTTTGGGCTCTTTGTTCTGCTGGAAGTGAAACCTCTGCACACAGCCTTAAGTCTTGCAGGTTTCTTGCAACAATGCCCTGCATTTAGCTCAGTCCACCAGCTTTGACCAACTATGCTGTCCATGCTGTGTTTCTGTCTCAGCACAGTGTTTTGCATGTATGCCAGACATTTCAGTTTTGATCCTATTTGATCAAAGCACCTTCTCCTTAGTCTACTCCCTACAAGCTTTGGATATTGTTTCATAACCAAATCCAACTTTAAACTTCTCCAAAATATTCTCCCTGACCTGTCAGGCGTGTTTTTTTTTGTCATCATGGTGCCGTTTGTTCACTAATGATGATCTCTGACAAACATTTAAGCCTTCATAGAAAAGACTAAATGACATGAAAATGTTTAAGGAGTACTGCTCTTATATGGTATTGTAAAATTCTTGTATTTATTTGCCTGTTTGTTTTCCATTTCTTGTTTTACAGCCTTTATTCAGGAACTTCAAAAGAGAAGCACATAGTTCTGCTGAGTTGTCTGGTTGAAGCGAGGGGTTGTGATGCGGTGAGGAAGCTTAGCCACATCTTCCACCAACAACTCCTGCGCTGTAGCCCAGGGATTTCTCCTTCTCCTTCACCTTTTCTCTTTTTCCTCTATCAATCTTAAACACAAGAGAGCATTCATGCTTATTTGTACAACAAAAACTTTTGTTTCATGTCAAAATATAACCCAGGGACTTCCTCACGTCGCCATCCAGCACTTTGGATGATGCTACTTGTGTCCACTCCCTTATGCTGTCAGATGCATTATTACTGATAGAGCACTCTTCAGTATTCAGGGAAAGTTTTACTTAATTTTTTTTTATTTTTTTCTTCTTCACCATAATAATGGATCATTTTTACTAAAATGTTATGGTTGCTTAGTAGTTTTAAGTTGGAATTCCTGAATTCAAGGATGAATCTGGATATCAAACTCATTCATCTCCTTCAAGACTTGACCTTCCAGGAAGGACGCAACTCAAAAGCCTTCACTGCTGCAAAAAAGAGGAAGAGGAGTCGAGCAAAAGGGAATCTATTGGACGAGCCGAGTGCTGTGAAAGAAGAGTGTGTTGTAGTTTTATCATTTGTGAGAACTTTTTCTCTTTGCATTGCACTTGTTCTGGAGGAGGTGTGTCTGCACCACACTGCCTTGATAGACTATCCCCTCTCACTCAAAACGAGACATTATCTGTCAGCCAATGCAGTGGTGGTCCTACTGTCTGCTGTGCTTCCGCCAGTTATTTTGCTTTCATTACAGATGTTTTTTTTTTATTTTATTTTATTTTTATTTTTGAAACATGAGAAAATGGCCATAATGAGGTCAATTAATTTGGCCGTGACCAACTGCCTTGAGAATAAATCTATATATATATATAAATATATATATCTATATATAAGGAATTATATATATTTGTTTTGAGGGAAAATGTTAGCAAAAATTGAAATGGTGTTTCTATTTTAATTGACTGGTGAGTGGGGATTTCTTTTTCCTTTTCTTTTCAATGATTGTTTTTTTTCTTATGAAATGTTTTTTTGGGGGGGTTTTCCTTTTTTTTCTAATAGTCTAGACATTTTACACTGAAATATAAAGAAAACAGCTTAGACACTGGACTAGCAATGCCTTTATAGTCAAATACAGCTGCTTCTTAAAATTCATCACTTTGTGACGAGTCTTTTTTTTTTTTTTTCTATTGAAAATTTTTCATCTAGAAATTAAACAATTTTTCCAATAAGCTGTACCGTTAATATTTTGGTGTTATCCAGGTTGATGTACATGAAAAGAATGCCTTAGCTTCGGTGTATTTTATTGCTATTATTTGACACATTTGAGACATAAATTTCACATGTAGTGTTTGCCACACATTTCAGCTTCCAGCCAACAAAATAACATGTTGATGACTGGGTGAGGTATACAAACATTGCAAATAAGCAAATTAAGGAAGGACATAAGTATGCTATTTTCATATATTTATGTTTAAAATATTAAACTAAATTAATTTCTTGAGATGAACATGGTACTTTGTGTTGCGATCCCTGATTTTCTAAGTCAGTTTTTTTTAGAGAATATTTAAAGTTTTAAGACAGATGAAAGCTTTGCTTTAAAATAGTGGAAATAGTGTAAGCCAGCTGCATAGCAGTCAGTGTACAGCAACAGGTGTGAAAGCTCCATAGCTTTCACAGATGAAACGTTGGAGCTTCATCTGGTGTCATGAAGACAACTCTAAGCTGAACAAATATTAAAGAAAATGTTGATTCCTAAATTGTAATTTTCTTACTAACTCTATGTTAGCGGTAGTTTTCAATGTGGTGGAGGCTGCACTAAACATGATCCCTGTTTAAAAACATTGAAGTTTACTATATTTTACCTTAAAAAGCATATTTTCTGGCTGTCAGACAACCTTTGATTAAAAAAGGCATCCTAAAAAAATAATGTAGACGTCTCCAATATAGAACATACTCCAAAAGTTTATCTTTCAATAGTGTGTCTGAAATGCTGAATCATAAAAAGGTTTTCTGCATAAAGACTATGTGAAGTGAGTGTGTTTGATAATATGGGGTGTGCAGAGAGCCATTCATTAACCTCCAGTGCTTATAACCTCTGATCCGATCTGAGGAAGATTAAGTGTAAAAATAATCACTATAAAAGTACAAATGTGTAGACTGTATCCACGGCTTCCAGTTAAATTTAATTTTATTTATATTTATCTTATCTGCATCATCTGAACTGTTAAACATTTTGGAGAGGTTTTTAATTAAAATAAACCGTTAAAGGAATTATTTGAGATTAATTTTTTTTTTTTTTTTTTTTACTAACGCAAGTGGCTGAAGCACAGCAAGGCTTTATTTCGTAACAGTTAATTAAATCAGGAATAAAACTGGTTAAATCTCAAAAACAGATTTAACACGAGGAAAGAGCCAGTGTCCTTCCAGAGCTCTCTGGATGCTTCCGGAGAGGGAACACTGAGCCGTTTCCGCCGCCATTGCGGATTTCAGAGAGAAGATCAGCCGTAGCTGCCGCTATCCATCGATGCTGTGCAGAAAGCATACACAAAAGGAAGACAAATTTAACATTTTCAAGAGTATCAGATTTCGGAAACACAACTAAAAACACGTCATAGTGATTTTCCTTCTCGCCGTGCAGCCGTTTTCACTGACTGGCTCCGACCTACACTCTCAGTGAAGAGGTCGTAGCTAGCGCGGTGCTAACTGCCGAGCTAGCTAGCTGTACGGCTAGAATTTCAGGACTCCGGAGAAGCTCAAGAAATCACCATGGCTCAAATCCTGCCTATCCGCTTCCAGGAGCACCTGCAGGTATGCGAAGAAGCGCTACAGCTTCACAATTCCCAGCGTTTTCATTACATGTCTTTTTCTCTGTATAATAACCGTTTGATAGTTTGCTAGACAAGCTAACGTCAATACCCGCAGCAAATGAATGACCTCCCCTCCCCCGTTTAGCCAACTGGTATCTTCATTCATCAGTCTTATGCTTGTGAACTCGAGTTAAAACGCTTTTCTCTACTAGAAACATTTCTTTCTGCCACTCTTTTATAGGCATGTTAAACAATTCTTCATTTTTTCTGTAATGGTTGTCGTACGTGTAGCTTAATTAGTTGAGCTGCTAGCTTTTGCATAAGCGCCTGAACCGTTAGTTAGCGGATCGTATGGGATGTTGAGAGTGATTTAATTATAACGGCGCTGGAATATTTAAGTTACCGTTCAGGCACCATCGCACATTGTGCTTAGGAAAGCTGTCATAAATACGTTTGTATCACATTGTTACAGTCACAATGGCCTTCGGATGAAGAGAAGCGGGTTATTAAAGCCCGATCAGCTGCAGTTTGACAGGACCTATTGCCATATAACGTCATACACAGAGCGTTGTGTCACGACTAGCGATTTGCATTGCACGTTTTATCTAAATGACGTTTCTGACTAAATGTAATGTCGTCAATCTGTCGTCTGACGCAAAATAGCGACTCGATCAATGAGGCGTCCGATTTTTCCCCAACTATTTAGATTTCCCTAAAGCCGTAGATATGACTGCAGTACATTTCAATCACTTCCCAGCTTCTGGTTCTGCTGGATTATTGAATTTGCATAGGGACTCCGACTGTGAATGTGACTGTGATTATATTTCTTTCGCATATCTGAATAGAAATTTAATTTGGTTTTTAAAACCGCTTATTTATGTCATTTTTCTGATTATTACAATCCTACACATGGTACATAATGTTCTCTATTTAACTTTATGGTCACATTTTCTGGTGGTATGGCAGAGGTTTAGGAAAACTTGCCACACCTAGATGTGCAACCCTTATGCTAAAAATTCCAAATTTGATTTCTGGATGAGGAACAACTAGTGAGGATTACATCCCTTTTATTTGCTTTGCACTCTAAGCAATAACTCAAAACATATATTGCTCAAAAATGCCTAAAACTGTTGGTTGTGTGACACTCAACCCAAAACTTTGAATGTATAGATAGCATAATGATGCCAAACTTGAGGCTGTTAGTTTTCATGCTTAACCCAAGGATAAACATAACATCAAAATGTCTGACATCATTGAGCAGCCTTAATCTATAACCTTATGAAATGTTGTTTTTGTTTTTTTTTCTTCTTAGATTTCATTTTAATGTTTTAGTAAAGCTTGTGAAAACTTACCATTGAGTTATCGCCAATTATTTATTTTAAAATATAGCATTATGTAAAATAAAAGAATACTTTTTGAAAGACAAAAATGATACGAGCACAAAATTCACACTACATTTCATCAGTATTATTGTGGTTGGCAGATGACTTGTGTTCATAAATAACAAGGTTATTCATTATTTATTCCTTGCATACATCGAGTACTGTGGCCATATATCAAGCGTCCAGGTTTTCAGAATCCCTGGTATAGTATCTAATGAACGTAATTGGGCAATTTTAACTTGATCGCCTTTGACTGGTGATCAGAAGTCCAAATATAAAAACTACATCAACAAACGGGGTCTTTATTCCATCTATGGGCATTGGGGAACACTTAACTGCATTTTCACCTCTTTCCTCAATGTACTTGATTTACTGAAATGAATTACTTCAACAGCTTGTCAACAAGTTGAGCATGAACCTGCCAATTACTGACCAATTTGAGTCAGGTTTTTGTAGCTGGAGGGATAGAGTTAGGAGCTGGTGCTTTAATGCACTTCACTCTGAGTTTATTCAAAATGAGACCGAAACGAGCGCTTTGATGCATCAATGGGGTCATCTTGCAATTAGTGATGAACCCATCAGGCTTTTCCTGGCTGATACGACTTTATGATATTTTCTAAAGCCTGTTATATGTGGAATAAAAATGTGCTGCATGTTGCTCTCAATACAGCAAAAAAGGATATAACCACAAGGATGTCGTCATTTATTTATTAAAACAGATTTGTCCCTAATCTTTATGTTTTTCTGTTATGGTTTTTACTTGAACTTGTTCAGATATTGGGAAACAGTTTTGCTAAATTAACTGTCTTGGGGTGGGAGGGGAAGACAATTTCAGTATTTGATTTGATTATCTCTGGCTGATTGAGTTGTGCATCTTTACTTGTAGGCTCTTATTTCCTTGATGAATTCTAAGCAATTAGTGCTAGGAAGGAACCAACATTTCTCCTTCCTGGGCTGCTTGTACGTTACATGTAAAGTACACTGCTCAAAAAAATAAAGGGAAAACTCAAATAACACATCCTAGATCTGAATGAATGAAATATTCTCATTGAATACTTTGTTCTGTACAAAGTTGAATGTGCTGACAACAAAATCACACAAAAATCATCAATGGAAATCAAATTTATTAACCAATGGAGGCCTGGATTTGGAGCCACACACAAAATTAAAGTGAAATGTTCCCTTTATTTTTTTGAGCAGTATATTCCTTTGTTGCTTTTTTTTTTTTTTTTTTTTTTATTTTTTTAAAACTTATGATATAAATAATGTCCATAATGTGGGTTTTGCAACCCATGGATGATCTTTTACATCTCTTGCTCTAGAAATGTAAAAGACTGTGTAGGCTGTGCTGCTCAAACAGTTTTCATGTCTCTGTGACAGCTCCAGAACTTGGGGATCAACCCAGCCAACATTGGCTTCAGCACTCTTACCATGGAGTCTGACAAGTTCATCTGCGTGAGGGAGAAAGTGGGTGAGCAGGCCCAGGTTGTCATCATTGACATGGCCGATCCCAACAACCCAATCCGCCGGCCCATCTCTGCCGACAGCGCCATCATGAATCCCGCCAGCAAAGTTATCGCCCTTAAAGGTAAGCAATCGCTTGAATCCATGTCGTATGGTTAGGACATAGAGAGTGTTTTTGGTTTTTTTTTTTTTTTTTTTTTTTTTTTTCCCCCCCCGACATTGTCCAAAAAAGTAAACGTTAACAGTTAAGATTTGGCCGGTCAAATTTCTTGCTATTTTTTTTTTGTCTAAGTCACGGGATCATTTGTGTAAATTAACTGTGTTGTCAGTTACGTAGCTTTCATATTCTGCTTTTCATTTCGATGTTCATAAGTAGATCATTTCCATCTTTGTTTGTCAACAACTGCAGTGTAGTGTTACCAATTCCAATGTAAAGTACTATTAGGAAAAGTAGCAGTAGAAATAGTAAAATGTCATGCTGTCATAAATGCTTTGTCTGTTTTGCTTGTTTTTGCTCTTTTTTTCATTTCTTACTGCTCTCTTATGTTTGCAGACGGTGAGTTGAATTTTACATATCCCGAGTTGTCAAAGTGTTCCTGTATGCACTGTCTTAAAATGTTTGCACTTTGCTGATTGTAATTTAATCCAGTGCTTGAGATAAAAAAAATAACCCTGCAGAAGCAGAGATTACCAAAATGGCTTTAAATTCGCCATCTTCTTCTTCTTTTTTTTTTTTGTAGTGTGTGTTTGTACATTTGATACAATGTACATATATTTTAATCTACATCTTATTTTCCACAACATACTGTACAGCATATTTTTAAGTCTTCTGTTTTGTACAGTATGTAAATACACATTATAGGGTTTATTTAAACCTTTTAAAGACTGCAAAATATTTTTGCCTGCATGGAATTTTGAGTTTGTTTATTTGATGTGTGATATAAATCTTTGAGTAATTGCATCTGGGCTGGTGTTGAACATGTTAAAGCTGATTTACAGATAGGAAAACACCTTTAATTGCCTGCATCCGTGGTGAGAAACGAAACAAGCCGTAGCGTTCCAGTACAATTGTTCCCGTTATCAATCAGATATTTAAAAATACTCAGCAGTGTAGTATAATCATGTTTGCTTCTGTGAATCCTTTTTATTTTTCCACTAGGTTATAAAAATTAAAAGTATGGTTCCACCACTATTACATCGTCTACACTAGTAGTATGATTTTTGTATGATTTCACCCACTTAATGATGTTTGAGGCTCTGCAGTCTCACTAATCAGTTCTTCCTGGCAGCCAAAGAATATTGTGCTGAAGAGTTTCTGCAGTTCAGCCTTAATTAAGGGATGGGTGAAATTAACTTAAATATTTTTTCTTGATTTTTTTTTTTTTTAATTATTGCAAATTTAAAATCGGTATCTTTTTTTTGCAGTAGATTATAAACCAGAAACACACATAGTGCTCTTAAAAATAAAACAGCCTCTATTTCCCTCCATATTAGATTGCTTTAGTGATTTGATAGTGTTATTATTACTTTCTTTATGTTAAACATATTAACAATTTGACTTGCATTTAACCCTGTTTCAGTTAATTTTACAGACAGAATTGACAAAAGTCGTTCTGCTTTTTCACAGCAGCACTTTGCTTCAAACGTCATAAAATTCATTGACTAGCGTTTCAGCAGCTCTCAGATGTTTTGATAGATCAATGGGCAGGACAGGTGAGACGATTCAGGCAAAATGGGAGCTGATGCAGGCGCTCTGTCATGATGAGCTTTATTGTACAGGAGGAAAATATGAAGATCGGAGGAAAACATTGATTCATTAGAGCAACAAAATATTGTGCACAGCCTGTGATAAATCTGGCAAGCTGGGAACACCAAAAATTGGCATTGATCTTAAAAGAATGTACCAGCACATTCAGAGCTGGGCTGATGGTTACATTTGAATAGATTTATAATATCTATACTTCATTGTCTATTTTGGATTGCTTATTTAGAATAGCCACTGCTAATAAGGGATATTTGCTCCACATAGCTCAATAAACAGACACTTTCCTCCAACAAGATTGAACTGGAGGAAATAAAAATGGGTTTGAGTGCATCTGTCCAGCATCCTCCTCGTTATCACATCTGTTTGTCTTTGTGCTTCTTCCTAATCTGCATTCACACCCAGCCTAAATTAATCCACTCTATGTTCTTAAATGCCGCTGAAGCTCGAACATGCCCGAAGTTTCATTTTTCTGGGTGATCTTAGAAGTTGAAGATTTCACACAGAGTCTTCAGTTTGACCTCCAAAGGCCATCATGTTTATTTCTGGAGACAGCATTTTATAAAATATGCCTGGCTTTGCATTAAAAGGCAAGAGAAAAAAAAATACACCTAAACAATGTGTCTGCCACAGTATCAACAAAAACATTGCAGTTCCATTATTACACATTGGGTACAAATTATGGAGAAGAAAAATATATTTTGTCTATTAAAATCTACAAGACACGCCAACCGAAGCATTGTATTATATTTATTTTGAGACTAAAACTTTTTAAGAACAATCATCTGAAAAAACTTATATTATTACTTGTGATGAATGCAAGTATATCTCAAAAAAAGGATCCACCTGGCCTGTAACATATGTCCTCATTTTACAATCCAGTTTCGCCGTTATGGTAACGTAGCTCCATATTTCAGCTGTGTTGTCGTCTCCCTTATAGAGTTCCTACATAGCAAAGTGGCAAAGAAATACAACACGGGGCTGCATTTAAGAGCAGAAGCTCCTTTTTAGCAGAGGCGTTAATTGTGACTTTAACAAATAAATTTGACATTAAGAGGTTGTGGCATCTAGCGTGATTGAATGCAGATCTATATTAGTGGTTGCCTTTGTTTTGGCCTTTTTGTTTTTCTGCTGTTTCTGGCTATTATTTTTTTATTTAATGGCCCGTTTTTGTAAGTCAAGTCCCTGATTTCCAGCACTTATCCAGCAGCTGGAGTAGGTATGCCTCAATGGTAGGTTTAATCCAAAAGTTTGCTTTGGCTTGTGCGTTGTCGTACCTTAAGTCATAACCCTTGTTTGAAGTAAATATTTGAAATGGTGTCGGATGATCACGGCATTCATTTCTGTCACCTTTTCTCTCGATGTTTTCAGCTGCAAAGACCCTGCAGATATTTAACATTGAGATGAAAAGCAAGATGAAGGCTCACACCATGACAGACGACGTGACTTTCTGGAAGTGGATCTCTCTCAACACCGTTGCCCTGGTCACAGACAACGCCGTGTACCACTGGAGCATGGAGGGCGATTCTCAACCAATCAAAGTGTTTG